TCGTTCTTATTTTCCTGATTCTCGTTTTTTTTTTTTTGTAAGTTCGTTCGTTCGTTTGCTTGCTTCATTTCTCACAACTTGATTCTTAATTTTAAATAATTTGACTGTTAAACAGATTTGATCGAGCTACAAGGATAGTTTTTCTTTCTTTGTTGTTCAATTACATTGGGTGATTTTATATTATAAACACTAAATATATTATATATAATATATATATATATATATATATATANAATATTCCTTAATCCTTGGTATACCAGGGCACGTTGATCAACACTTTTTCATTAAGAGACTCTTGGTGTTTCGTTTTAGTTATTGTATTAGTTTATATCATACATTTTGCTATAACAATATTCCCGTAAAACTTGACAAAAATACTTTTAAGCAAGTAACACTCTATAAACGTTATTTATTTAAAATATAAATTCCGTTATTATTATTATCATTATCATTATTATCATTATTATTCCGACTCACATTCATCGTTTTAACATTTTCTGGACTGTCCCCACCGTCGATATTATTTCTTTCTTTCCAAGTTCGTACGAATATACGTATTTACATGAAATTGTTTCGATATTGATATTCGTGAGAAATATAAATACATCGATACCAATGTTGTTGTTATTATTATACGAATGTATAGACGAGTCGTATGTATAGAAATGTATATTTGCTTTACGAGTCCCTTGAACGAAAACCCAAATTCAATATACCAAGGATTAAAAGGAAAAATTATTATTATTCTTCTTCTTCTTCTTCTTTAAATACTGCTAGGGGGATAAATAATTTAATATTTATAATCTCTTCTATCGAGATTAATTTTAAAATCTCGTGGCTCGATTGTTCAACAGTCGCAATGACAATAGATTTACTAGAACGGCTATCTATTTCTAAATGTACATACATGTTATATATATATATATCTAATATATAATAATGTTTAAGTATATGCATATTGTCGGAATAGTAAAGGATTCATTTGCTGCGATATCTGCGCTGTTCCAGAAAGGCGAGGGGTATGCAATAACAAGTAAGTCGTAAATATCAAATGCTACTACCGATCGTATTCTCGCTATTGGCTCCTTTTTCTTCCTTTTCGTACTCGAATAGGCACTTGGCTATGTTTCTGCGATTTCCTTTTAGCGTCAGTAACATTTACGTCTATTGTATATACGATGGAGAGATTTATTATTATATGGATGGAGAAAAACTGAAATTTTTGAAATTTACGAGAAGACTCCCCCCTCTTCGTTTTTTTTTTAACATTTTTTTTCTCATTCTTTTTTTTTTTTTTTTTTTTTTT